TTTAAATTGATATTGGCATCATCCAAATAGTAAGTCCTGATGTAAAATAAAAAATAAATAGATATTTTCCTTTTTTTATTTTTATGTTCATCGCGATTTGATCTGTATTCCCACGTAGTTGCGTTCATATGAAACACAATAATATTCGTTTTCATTTGAATTGATATTGGCCTCATCCAAATGGTAAGTCCTGAATTTAAATGAAAAATAAATGAATATTTTCCTTTTATTTTTATGTTCGCCCTGGTACATTGCTCATGTTAATGAATGTATGTGGAAAATAGAAGTAAATATTTTTGGAATTTGGACTGGATTGCGGGCACTCATTTGAACCTTCTAAATTTGAGTGTTCCAATAGTAAATGAAGAGAGTTGTCTGGGATTAAAGTGTCGTGGACCTGCAGAACCTTTGGTTGCTCCATGCAGTAGTGTCATGAAAAACCATATAAATTCCGATACCTTTTGTCACGTGCTGAACCATTATGAGAATATGTAATAGGTGGTTCTGGTGGTTTCTCGCGGAACCAATTTTAGACAGAACCTTTTGGAAGGGTTCTGTGTTGTATCCAATCGCAGAACCCAGAAAAAGGTTCTGCAAAACTCCTTTTTTTTTCAGAGCAGTCAAGACTGGGACCCAGTCACGACTGGGTACTCAGTCATTTGAGCTCGAGTCCATTAGTCGAGTAGTACTTTCTTCTTTTCTAGTATATTGTCATACAGTGATTCCTAGACTATTGAAGTACTGATATAAGCTATAACATTGAATTCATTGACTAATCATATATTTCTATGTATCAATCGTTATAATTTAGAATAACTCCTCCCCTCTCTCCCCCATCTCCTCCACAATATTACAAGATCTCCTCATAATAGAAGACCCCTTTGGGAAAAAAATTGTGTTCTGCATAATAAAAAACCCCTTCCCCATTTATTTAAGATTTTTTTTTTTGAGAACTGAAGATTTTCATTAGTTTTTTATCCCGAAACGTGTCTATTCTTGGGATTCTCAGTTGAAAATTTTCAAATTGATGAGTTCAAATGTACATTTAAGATTCGAAAGTCGTGAAAATCCTTTCTCCAATTTTCAAAATCGCTTCGGTTCTCTCAGAGTACCTTTTTAGTTACAAAATCTATCAGTGTAGCCGCTATGGAGCCGAAGTGTAGTACTCATGAGACTCAGGCTGCTACAGATTTATATTATATTCTCAAAAACGGTTGGAAAAGTTTATTTTCAAAAGATATCAAATAAATGGATAGATTACAACTAATTCTATTGTTTGAGTTAAAGCATACGCTCTAAAACTTTATCCGAACGAAACTATTTCATTTCGATTTACTACCTCTTCCTTCGCTCCATTTATCAGATTTCCTGAATATATTTATAATATTAATACAACCGACGCAGAATGTTAAGTTTCTAAAGAAACATTGATCAAAATGATTAATTTATAGCAGTTTCTATTCGTACATTTCAAACATTTTTTTTCTAATGCGTGCTTTTTTTCTTGTTACTATTCGCTGTATTATTCTTCTGTTAATCGAGATTATCATTATTTCATATTATTCGATGCAAGGTTTAATTTAATGGCTAAATAAACTTAGTATAGACATTGATTGCATCTTCGTCAGATCCTAACAATCTTGTATGTATACTATTGTACTGAGTAAGACACAAAATAAATGTTTCTAAAAGTTGGAAAGTAGTTTGATCACGCTTTTATGTAACTTATACTACCGTTATGAAAAATCACAAAAGATAACCTTTCACATGAATCGTATAAACTTTTATCTGCGCAAAAAAAGGAGGCTAGCTTTTTGCGAATACTCAAAAACATATTCGAAGTATTGAAAAGCAAAAGGTTCTAGAAATTTCCACAACCTTTTAAATATAAGTGATTGTTACGACATGTAATGAGGAAGAGGGAACAAGCTGAAAAACCTTGACTCAAACTTACGGTCACTATTAGTTTCTTCGGAAATATATGTGGACTATGCGAAGCTTAAAAACATAATATTTAGAACAGAAACTAGAAATTACAGAATTTAAAAATAATGTAGCCACTGATATTAATTACTCCCTATTGTTTATTGCTGTGGGAAGATATCGTGATGTTTTTCCCAGCATCTGGTTACTATGATAGGAACTGAGGAGCCGTAAATCCTGAACTTAAACTTGCATTTACTAAATTCTTCGAAAATACTCGTGAGTTTCGCAAAAATCCGAGAGTCATAATACAAGACCTCCCTAAAAAACTTTTCCGCTTAAACATAATAGAAGACCCTGGGTCTTTTATTGTAGGGGGAGGGGGGGGATTTACTATAAATAAATTTTATATGTCTTCGTTAAACTTTTATGAGCTATCTATTGAGGCATAGTTTTCGTTTATTATCATCTGTTGAACTATTTTCTTTGCTATAGATAACTCTTCTAGATAATGGATTTCTATAACGGCTTGTTTTAGAAAAATGTTTCCTGTAAGATCGATACTGAAATAAAAAATAGAAAAAGCCGGATTCATTTTAAGAAGCATCAAAACGAATACGATTGACTCATGTATTAAGTGAAAGCTTGTAATCGATCAAAATAGTACTAAATCAGAAATTGTAGTCATGAGTGATTCGGTTTCGTATTTTGAATTTCAAACTATATTTTTATTTTGCTAATAGTTCCTAAAAGAATGTTTAGAATATCTTGTATACATTGGAGGTAAATACATTTCAAACCAAAAAGAGCTTGTCAGGACAGCCTCATTTGGGGCTCAAATGTGGAACTCACATATCTTGTTTGATTTCATCACATCAATACAAAACATAGAGTGTAAAAACTCTGTAGGGCGATCCTTTTTCTTCCCGATTCTCGATTGTTAGGAAAGATCCTTCTTTTTCTTCATCTTAAGAAGAATTCTTTTTCTTTGAAACAGGTGTCTTGTTTTGCACCTTTATTATTGTTACTTATTCGTGACTTTTCATTGTCCTAATCTTTTAAATTTAAAACTTTCATTATTATAAGAACTGAATACAATCACAAATAATGTCGTTGTAAATAATATTCATATAATGTAAGTAGGAAAGTCTGTAATGGAAAGTGTCTATAATGATGGATATCTGGTTGCAATGGTCTGTAATGGAGTGAGAAAGGCACTCCAAAAACCTCGCCGTAAAACTTAATTACTAATACTGCTGAAATATAT